CTAGGCCACCATGCGATGAGATGTGCCAAATGGCCAGAATATTTCGACACAGCCTCTTGGATGGTGTACCATCGATGGGTGAGGGACTTTGGTTCATGGTTGCGGATGACCGCGTTGGAGTAGGGTGCGAAATGCTTGTGTTCATGGAACCATGTGTGAATGTTGGCCCAAAAAGTTGAGCCCTTTTGCTTCATGCCATGGATCGGATCGAGGCTAGTGGCGAACCATGCATCGCACAAGAGCTTGTCCTCCCTCATTGTTGAAGATTTCTCATCTATCCTTCTTCTTTGGATCACCGACAAAATCATCTGGATCATCGTCTTCGCTGTCCTCATCCTCCTCCACCTCCTGATGAAAAAGGGTTTCCTCCCGCTTTATATTTAAAGCAACCGCACCAACATCCATCCACAAGAGAGGTCTTAGGTTAAAAGTTCAACAACAAAGAAGGAAAGAAAAAGAACAGGATCCAAATAAGTCTTGCTGAGGGTACAACACAACATCCCCTTAATAAAAGGAAGGTAACTAATCCGGCTCGGGGGGAGGTGGAGGAGGCGGCGGAGCAATAGATCTAGCAGTGGAGCGAAGGCCCGCGATGATCAAGTCGATGTTGTTTCGATCACTCCTCTTGCTAAGCGGTCTCCATAGCTGTAAGAAGCCACACATTTTGTAGATTGCGTCAGTCGCATGTAATGGAATCACATGTTCAATCACAAGTTTATTTCGAACAGTCCACAAGGTCCAAGCGAGTGTGTCCATCCTCACCCAGAGGGATGGGCGCACCACACATGGGAAGCTAAGAATCTCCCAGAACATTTCCGGGAGATTGTCGTGGCACCAAGTGCCTCCCACCACATCCCGGAAACAGCTGCACAGAAAGATAGCTGCTGGGCATAAGAAGAATATGTGGTTGGAGTCCTCTAGTACATCGCATAAGGGGGAAATCCCATTACTAGGGCCGTTGCGCTGAAGCACTTACGTACCCAAAGGCAGCTGACCACAAACCCACTGCCAAAGGAAGATACGAATCTTCAGTGGCAGTTTGATCTCCACATGACGTTGAGATCCTCCGGGCCAGGGGTGGCTACAATCGCCTGATAAATGGATTTTGTTGAGAACACGCCACTTGGCTCTAGGTGCCAAGAGATGGCGTCCTACTCCAAGGAGGGGGTATGCAGGGCGACACATTGAAGCAACTCCTTCCATTGGTCCCGTTCAAGGGGGGCGAAGGTACGTCGAAAGGCAATGCCCCCTAGGTCTCCCGGAGCCGCCGCCATAATAAGATGAACCTCCTCCTCCTGCGCCTGTCCGGCGGCCCAATCATGTTGCTGTATTCCCATGCGCGTCTGTTGTGTGCCGATCTGGGTGTAGCCTTGATGCGTGTGGGTGTAGTTGCCGGACGGGATGGGATCTGAGTCTTCCACCTGCCCGTCCTCATAACCTCCTCCTCCTCCGCCTCTGTCCTGGATGATGTCGAACATCTTCTTATCTGCGTCGTCTTACGCGCCCCCTCGCTTTAGGCATAACAGTGAACATCACACGGGCACCCATGTGCTCCCCGCCCGCGGTCCGCGCCTGGGCGAGCTGTGGCGAAGAAGACTCTGAGAAGAGCAGCGGCACCGCGTTTAAGACGATGATGTAAGGCACTTGCCTGATGGTGGTAGCCGTGGATTGCCTACCAAGCTGCTTGGCTGTGTAGTAGTATGGAGCCTTGTAATGCCCCGGCCATGGCGGTGTCTGCAGGATGGGCGCCGCCATTGTGGCTCCGCGACCTCCACCACGTCCGTGACAAGCACGCCGACCGCCACGGACGGCATCAGCACGCCCTCCTTCTTCCTTCCGCTTCATGAGTGTTGCCTCCTTGCGGCCTTCGCTTTGACGCGGTGATTTTGCCGCGTCATCGAGTAGATCTTCCGGGCGAGGTTGATGCTTGGATCCTCCTGCACATCCACCACCTCTATCTCTGGCAGGTCCTCTTCCGGTTCCATGAGTCGGCAGCGACAACAAAGAATATGGGAGAAAAGGGCGCGAATTGGGTGAAAAGCGGCAGGATGGAAGAAGAGAGTGGGGGGATTTTTGCGAGGAAACGGTGCGGGATGCTACAAAAGGACGGGCTCTACCTTCCTTTTGGGTGGACCATGGGTGTAAGGGCATCTCCAGCCGGCCCCCCAACAAGCCTCCCCAAGCCACTTTTTGGGCGCCGGCGGGCAAAAAACGCCCCAGTCAGGCCCCCAGAGACCCGTTTTTCGCCGGATTTCGCGAAAGTTACGGCCGACACTACCACCCCAAACCCAGCCCCCCGGGGGGCAGCTGGGGACGCCGGCTGTTGCCTTTTGCATGCACAGGGCCACTCGTCAGCCCCTCTCTCTCCCCTCTCTCTCCTCTCTCTTCCCCTTTCTCTCTTTTCTTTCTCCTCTCTCTTCTTTCTTTCCTTCCATCACCTACCGCACATAGCGCGCATGGCCGGGGCGGGGTTCGCGCTCGCGCGATCAAAGCCTCCACTCGACCATCTCCTTCCTCCTCGCTTGGTCGCCATGGCCACCAACCTCGCAAGATCCAGCCCATCTCCTACGCGTCCGTCGAGTGGGCGTTCCGGCGGACCCGGTCGGCGCCGTCGCTCGCCGCCGAGTTCGCGGGCGGCCCGCTCAAGCGCTGGTGGGACTGGGGCCTTCAGCTGGCTGCGGCTTCGCCGGCGACCTGGAGATGATCGAGGAGGAGGTGGTCGCGCTCGGCCGGGGCATCTGGGCGCACTTCGTCTACAAGGTGCGCTCCGGGGTCCGCCGCCTCGTCGCGTCCGACCAGCTGCTGCTCACCACGCAATGCCTCAGGGGCGCCTCGCTGCCCCCGTTCCGGCGGACGGGCGGTGGTGCCGAGCAGGCCGGCGCGGCGGGACGAGCTGCAAGGGCGGGGCACGCGGGCCGAGCTGCAGGCGCGCGCGGCGGCAGTGTGAGTTGCCGCCGAGCTCGCACAGCTCCGGGTCGCCTCCAAGCTCGCGCTGCCGCCGCTGCAGTCCACCTCTGGGTTGTTTCCAAGCTCGCGCCGACAGGGAGGGAGGGGGAGGACGCTGGACGGCGGCGAGCGGCGCCGTGGTGAGGGCGGCGAGCAGCCAGAGGCGCCGTGGCAAGGGCGGCGAGCAGCGCGAGGGCGTGCGGTGGCTACGAGTGGCGCGTGGGAGGGGCCAACGAGTGGATAGATTTTCACCCCAAGACTAAATGTTACGCCGGCAGCCCCCCAAGCGGCGAAAAAAATGCCTCCCGGGGGGCCTCAACGGCTGGAGATGCCCTAAGAGTCTCATATGTCTCGTGTCCGTACTCCCGCAATGCCCTCTATGTTTGGTTTCAGTTTACGAAAAAAACATGGTCCGGACTGCTCGATGAACGACACATGCCCATATTGGATGACATCCGGGGTCTGGACCGCACAGTCATAACGTATGCGGCGGTTTGAGGGTCAGCGTTGGAAATTCTTTATAGTAGGAACAGTATACGCACGACACGACCTAGTAGAAGGCTCCTCCCGGAGGGAACACGTTGATAACGCATGTGCGAATAGGTTAGGAAAACCCGAAAACAAGGATCCAATCCCCGCTAACACGGACGATGGTCAACAAGCTTAGTCTTTGTCCTAGTCCTGACCAGACGTACTCCATCATCAAAATGAAATACTAGTAGAGTTGTACCACCAGTCCTCTCCCTCTCAAAAAGAAAGCTAGTTGTCCTATAGTCGTACACCACAGCCATCACCCATCTCCGTCCGTGGCATGGCATGGCAGCGCTCTCGTCTCGTCTCGTGCATCCACCTCACACTTGTACAGCTATATCCCACACACTTTCGCTCATGCGCATGCATGCATGCACGCACGCACTGTCCTCCACGACGGACCATGGCAAGGCGTCACACACACACAGCACAGCAGTCGCAATAACTCACACGGCGACGGAGCATCGGGGAGGAGGGAGGCAGCGGCTCGGGATCTCGCCTTATCCTCGCGGTACGACGCTCTCCCCACCCCGGCCAAAATGTACGTAAACATGGCGCCATTTACACGCGCGCAACCACTCCGCTGTCCTCTTATCCCTCCCCTCCCATGCATGCATGTCAGCGACGGACGATCCACGCCAACGGGCTCCCGACGAGGCGGACGCGCCCAAAATATTCCACCGCCGAGCCAGCGACCCGGCCCGTACTCACGCAAGCGGCGCACGCTCGTCCGGGCCAGCCAGCGACGATGGCGACCGATCGCGCGATACAGGCACGGATCTCTCCGCGGGTTTACAACAAGCAGCCCGCTTTTTGTACAGTCCATGTCGCTATCGCTCTCCCCCTCCTGGCCGGCTCGCTACAGCCCTACGTAAGTACGTACCTATTCGCGAGCTGAGCGCGTGATATTTTCAACCTCCTGCAAAAAAATAAATTTATTTTCAACTGGTTCCAGCTCTAATTTGTAAGGATTGAAATTGTAAAAGCTCAAGTAATTTCCAAGGACGAATAAAAATATGTAACTCCAGCCTCATCATATAAAAAGAGAAGATCAAATTAATCAACCGGCCAGAATATGGGGTCGAGGTTGAATGCATGATTGCTGCCGGCGCTTTGTGCCGGATCAGTGGAGTGAAAGGACCGGTCGAATATCGCCGTAATTTAAAAGGTGCGTCTTTAAAGCATTTCGTGCCGCATTAGTCCAACAAATCCCGCTCGACCACTAGCGCTCACTAAAAAAAGAAGGAATAAAAAGGAGATGCGCTGTTAATTGCACACACAAACATATTCTTGCCCCAGAATCCACGCAAAGCAAATACGATAAAGAACACAAGGCTAACCCCAATTTGTACATGGTCTCACTCCTAAATTTAGTAGTACTCCAGTGGTTTTGCTTCCTTCTTTTGGTTCTCCAATGGTTTCGAAATGATTTCCGGCCCGATGTGGAAACGAACGAGCCATACATGCATGCAGCGGCGGCGCGGTTTGATGGCACCGGTGACTGAGCGAGTTGGCGCCTGGCTTTAGTACTCCCACTGCAGCGGCTCCTCCAGGCGGAACACGCCGGCGCCAGGGCCGGCGAAGGCCACGTCGTCGTCCCACGAGGAGGCGCACGAAAGCTGGCAGGACGGAGGGCCGTGTCTGAGGTCGAAGAGGAGGTCGGGGAGGTCGAACAGCGCATCCTCAGCGGTGTCAGGCGGCGGCGAGGCAGAGGCAGAGGCAGAGGCGGAGGCAGAGGCGGAGGCGCCGCTGTGTTCCGGGCCGTCGGGGTTCTTGGCGCCGGCATTGGCAGCTGCAGTGGCAGAGGCCGGGAAGTCGGCGGAGGCGGCGAGTGCGGCGGCCGCCTGGACGTCTTTGGGCGCGGCGGTGGCCGGGCGCGGGAGCTCGTGGGCGAGGTCGGGGAAGTTGAGGTGCGCGGCACGGCCCTTGATGGCGAGGGCGGCCACGTCGTGCGCGCGCGCCGCCATCTCCGCGGTGGCGAAGGTGCCGAGCCAGATGCGCGACTTCTTGCGGGGCTCCCGAATCTCCGACACCCACTTGCCCCAGCTCCGCATGCGCACCCCGCGGTACGTCGGGTGCCGCCCGTCGTTGCGCGGCCGCTTCTTCTTCGACGACGCGGTGGTGGCCGTCGGGGACGGCGGCGAGGCCAGGGCCTCCACCGAGGACGAGGTGGTGGTCTCGGAGCCGGAGGAGGAATCCTCCGTGGCGCCCATGGCTGATTGATACTGTGGTGGTGGAGTTAGTTGTTGGGGGGGTGATGAGCGAGAGCGTGAGGGGGTGAGTGGTGTATTGCGGTGGGATGCGAGGCAAGGCAGTGGGAGGTTTTATGATGAGCAGAGCAGATGAGGCGGAGGGAGCAACGTGGAAAGGAAAAACAAAGCGGGGAATCGAATGGGGGAAGGCGTGAGGCCAGCGTGTTGGCCTTTGGGAACTGAGCAACTGATGAGCATTGTTTTCGAGCGATTAAACAAGTTTTAATCTTTTTATTCTCTTGCAACTATTTATTTTATTTACAGCAAATAGACTTTATTCCTCGAATGATTGTAATGTCCTTTACAAGTAAATGAGAAATCCCCGCAGAAAAAAGTAAATGAGAAATTAAGTCAAGGACAAAGAGTCCGAGAAGCTAGAATATCTAGTGCTAAAGGAGTAGATTTTTTTTAAAATATATTATTTTTAATAACAAATTCAAAAAATATACGCCCTAAATAAAAAATCCAATACTATTACCTGTCGGCCTGCTGAAGTCGAAGAGGAACTTTCCAGTCTACTTTAGGCCGACGATTGATCTTCGGTGTATATTAAGCCGAAGAGACGCAGTTATGGGCCGAAAAGCACTCTTTGGTTTTCCGTAGGCCGAAGAGTTTACTCTAGTTCAAAGAGGCCTCTCAGGCCCAACTCTTCGCGTAAACTGTAGACCGAAGTTGCATGGCACCACTCTGTGGTTTTTACCAGGTCGAAGAGTCCTTTTTCGACAACTGGTTTATCTTGTCGAGTACATGGTTTCCCCACCTTAACCATGTAGCGTTCCCGCTCTTTTTTTCCCGTCAACCCTTTCCTTCCATTTATTCCCGCCAATTTCTTTCCCGACATCTTGTTTCTCGTCATCTTCCTTCCTGTCATTTTCTTTCCCGTCCAATTTTCTCGCGAACCCCTTACCCTCATTCTATAAAACCACCCGCTCGCTTGTTGTCATCTGCATCTTTCCTTAGCAATATTTCCAGTCATGTCCGACGACAATTCCCGCGGTTTTACTCCATTGATGTCTCGTTTGCTCTTGTGCAATGCCGCAAGAATGAAAAGGCATGGTATGTGAGTTGTGAGTTTTGAATAATTAGTTAGTAGTGATAGAAACCCGATGGAGTTGGGTAAGTGCTTTTCCCGGCGAGGTCTCCTGGAGAAGTGCCCGGAAAGGAACTTGAGGAGATTTGACAAGAACTCTTCCGATTGCGTGGAAGCTGTGATAAGGTAGTTAAACTCAAATATATGGGTGCCCACATTATTGGTAGGTCTGCTCCACTTGTTGAAACTCCAAGAATAGCTTTCCATAGAAGCAATACGAGGATCACATTAAGGTAATTGATATTTCATTTCAGCTTGCACCAATTTAGACCATATGCTAGTATGTAACTATGTTATTATTATTGTTTCAAATGTTCAGAGGTATCCCGAGGACACATAATTGTTGAACAAGGATATCTTAAACTTTGGATGGATGAAGAGTATTTGGGGCCCTATACCAGAGGTGAGAGTAACGCGACAGAGTGTTGCATCGGCGAGGGGTGGCTCTAGCTCCAAGAAAGTGATTGAAGACGATTGTGATGACTTTATGCCTAGCAAATGAGCTCATAATAGATCTAAGGGTTGTGCCATCTTGAAGAGTGGTAGATCAAGTAAGAGTGTAGCATCATCGAAGGGAGCCAATGCTGATTACGATTGCGCTGATGAATTTATGCCAGAGAAAATGGTTCAGGTAACACTTGGACGTAATCATGAAGACCACTGGAAGCCCCGTGTTAACGTGAATAGTGATGATGACTTCATTTAGTTGTTGCACGACGTTGTAGAATTAGTCTGTAGTGTCTTACTCTAGGAGCATCATGTTGTATCTTAATTTCATATCATAGTGTGTCGCAATTTCTATTGGTTTGCAATCTCTTCATCAGAATTATCATATGAAGAGAAAACTTGAAGGCAACATGAAAACAAATATGTTTCGTACATTGATAATGGATCACACATGTAAGCAAGTGCAATAGTAACACATACATAAAATCATGTCTCGTACATTGATAATGACTCACACATGAGAAAAGTCTGAAACTAACATGGATGGAGATATGTGTTATACATAGATAATCATATCACTCCCGGGGACTACGGTGAACTTGTGGCTTCCTCGGACAAGGACCGGAAGGCGATAAGCACTGAGCTGGTGGATGAGGCTGACGATAACCACGACCGTAGAGATCTCCGTCGTTTGTGTTCTTTGTATCCTACATGGGTGGTGGTGGTGGTGGAGTGTAAAACATTGTTTAAGAGAAGTCATAGGTGTGTGCAACTTGGTCATCATCATCGTCGATGCCCTCTAAGAATGAATCACCACCACTCACCATTAGTGACTGCATGGATTGCGTGAACTATGCCGATGGGTTGCTTACAGAAGTAGAGTTGCACATGTAAAATTGACTTGGCAACCTCCAAATTAGAAAACAAAGTAGAAAGTAGTGTTACCTGGTCCTATGTGTTGATGCCAGGACGAGCTTCCTGGTTGGAAAGGAGGTGGAGGGAGGTGAGCTTGACTCATGGGTGAAGCCATTTGTTGTGGTTCTGATCGATGCACAGAGGGATTTTGCTCGGGCGGCTGTTGCTGTTGCTCGACCACCATTGGTTCCAAAGTAACTATATCATTAGGAGGAGGAGCATGAATCTCAGAATGAATAAGTTCTCCTTCTTCAGGAGCAGACTTGGTGGGAGATACTATTCGAATAGGTGAGGCCGCATGCACTGAGTCAGTTAGCCTTGGTGAAGGTTGTGCTTCCAATTCCTGAATAGGGGGCTCTGAGCGAATGATAGGCTTAGGAGTCATTTATTTTGTTGGGTGATCAGCAGTTGAGGGAGGCCAATTTTCTTGCGGTGTAGATGACACTTGCCTTTGGGCCGTTTCTTTCGTTGCTTCCTTTTCTAGTGAGCAACTGGATCAACATGGCCTTTCACAAGATCATTATAGCCAGTGACATCGACTTGATGCTCTTCACTGATCTTGCAAAAAAAATCGTCTAGATCCAAGTGGAAACCCAACCGCGTGTGACGAAGAAGAGTCATGGCACAATTGACGTCCTTGTAAGAATTTTTTAGCTCTTTAATCACAAATTTTGAAGTGGCAGTTTTCATTCAACTGTCAAGGTCAAGCAGCTCAGCAGACAGTGTGTTGATTTTGGCAGCATCTTCTCTCATTTCCTGTATGAGGTGGCCTTTTCAATGACTTCAGCAGGAATGGGCAAATAGGCCACTTCTCCATCGAATGGATTTTCCACAAATTTATCAAGTTGTTCCATGATAAAAGTGTGATTGTAGTAGTGAGGAGCATTGGATTCTTGGATAGGAGTTGTTTGTATAGTAACATGCTCGGTGGGAGGCATCGATGCCAGAGGCTGAGTCAAGGTAGGCGCAAACTTAGTAGCCTTCTCCTTCGGAGTAGCAGCTTGTGGACTATCTATATTAGTGGTAGGCACCTTGATTGTCTTCAAGGCATGCTTCAGAGTGTGCTCACCTGGCTTCGCAGTTTGCACAGGGGCTTCCACCACCTAATCGTTCAAGTTTATAACATCTGGATGTGGAGTTGTGTTGACATGTTGTTTCATCGTGACAGTGGTAGCATGATTTTTTCGGGCAGGTATCTTCTTTGGCGGAGCTTGAGGAGCAACTTGAGTCTGAACATCAGTCAAGACATTGGAAGTGGTGACATTTACTTGCTTGCTGAAAGTGGCAACCTCTTAGTTTGTGAGAGGGTGATACGTCTCCAACGTATCAATAATTTTTGATTGCTCCATGTTGTTATATTATCATTCCTGGATGTTTTATATTCATTTTATAACAACTTTTATATCATTTTTTGGGACTAACCTATTGACATAGCGCCAAGTGCCAGTTGCTGTTTTTGCATGTTTTTTACTTCACAGAATATCCATATCAAATGGAGTCCAAATGCAGCGAAACTTTTTGGAGATTTTTTTACCAGAAGACAACTTGGGAGCCAAGAAAGCACCATAGGGGAGGCCCATTGGGCCCACCACCCAGTGATACGTCTCCAATGTATCTATAATTTTTGATTGTTCCATGCTATTATATTATCTGTTTTCGATGTATTTTAAATTATTTTTGGGACTAACTTATTAACCTAGAGTCTAGTGTCAGTTTCTGTTTTTTTCCTTGTTTTTGAGTTTTACAGAAACGGAATATCAAACGGAGTCCAAACGGAATAAAACTTTCGCGATGATTTTTCTTGGACCAGAAGACACACATAGGACTTGGAGAGGAAGGCAGAAGAGTCCCGAGGGCTCCACAAGCCCTCAGAGCGCGCCCTAGGGGGGACTCCTGGCTTGTGGGCCCCCAGGAGTCCTCCAACCCTAATTCTTGGCCTATAAATTTAGAAATATTCCCAACGACCAGAAGCGTCCACCAAAATACTTTTCCGCCGCCATAACCTTCTGTACTCGTGAGATCCCATCTCGGGGCCTTTTCCGACATCTTGACGGAGGGGGATTCGATCACGGAGGGCTTCTACATCAACTCTATTACCCTTCCGATGAAGCGTGAGTAGTTTAGCTCAGACCTACGGGTCCATAGATAGTAGCTAGATGGCTTCTTCTCTATCTTTGATCTTCAATACAATGTTCTCCTCAATGTTCTTGGAGATCTATCTGACGTAATCTTCTTTTGCGGCGTGTTTGTCGAGATCTGATGAATTGTGGATTTATGACCAGATTATCTATGAATATCATTTGAATCTTCTTTGAATTCTTATATGCAAGATTTGATATCTTTGTATTTCTCTTCGAATTATCGGTTTGGTTTGGCCAACTAGATTGGTTCTTCTTGCAATAGGAGAGGTGCTTAGTTTTGGGTTCAATCTTGCGGTGTCCTCTGCAAGTGACATAGTAGGGGTAGCGAGGCACGTATTGTATTGTTGCCATCAAGGGTAAAAAGATGG